GAAGCTGGAATTTCCCCTTTGTGGGCCTAGAGACTAGACTGCCAGGTAGCTGAGTCACTGGGGCACACCTGGGGCACTGCCCAGGCCTGTCCATCAGGTGAGCAAGACCACGTTCTGTCATTTAATGGCATCAGAAAGCTCCTTGCCCTTTGTCTCCCTCCTGACCTAACTCTCCCCCATGCAATCCTGGCAATCCGAATATATTTTAAATATATTTCCTTTTCTCTGTCAAGAGACCCCAGTTCTAGAGAGGACTGAGCCTTCTTATTTTACAGGCTGGCAACTCAGGGAGAGCATGTTGAATTTGATCTCAGGTTCCCAACATGAGGTTCTCTAAATTCGCATTAGGGATCTGTGAGCCACTTAAGAAACTGTCATGACCTCCTCAGGAGCGCCCAGGCTAATGGGACATGAACGCTCTTGGCTCTGGCTGGCCTGGTCCTGGTCTCTGCGCATTGACATTGTTTGCAGCTGGCTGATGGAAGGGCCGGATTCAAGCTTTATTCACTGCCCTCTTCATCCCTGACCTGAGCCAAAAGATCCCCTGGGTCCCCTGCAGCACCCTGTCCCTCCTGCTCAGTCACTGCCAGACAGGGTTTCAGCCAGTGACAGAAGCAAGAGGATAGGGAAGCAGGGGCTTCTCACGGAGGAGGGGGAGGGGGTGGAGAGGGAGAAAGTGGACCAATCTTAGCTTTTGCCCCTGTGTCTTCCCCACCCCATGGGCAGCCTCTCTGTTCTCAACTGGGGACAGGAAGTGGGAACCAGAGACCCACCCAGATTGAAGCAGCCCACCCTGCTGACAGAGGCATTGTCTCCTGCCAGGAAGTAGTGGCAGCCACCAAGGGTGCCAGCTTCAGCTTCCACTGCCTCCCATCCTCACCATGCCCCCACAGGCAGCCAGGGCCATTTAGATGGATGGGGAGCCACCTGTGTAGCAGGACGGGGCCTGGAGGGGTGCCTATCCCTCTTCAGGCACACTTGTGTGCTTGTGTCTACCTGCATACACACACTCACACTCATAGTGAGCATACATCTGGGTCCTATGAGATGGATGTCTGTGGACGCCCAAGGCTGGGTCCGTGCCACTGCCTGATATCAAAACCACCAGAGGGCTGCCACTGTGACTGTTCAGTGAATGATCTTGACCAAAGGGGCCAGGAGACACAGGAGGAGGGCCAGGGGATGCAGACCCCTTGCAAGGTGAGCCCCACCCGGGCCTGCCTCCCTGAGTCCCATCCAGCTTATCCAGGTACTCTTTAGGCTCCCTCACTGACCCCATCCCACCTCAAGCAACTTTTCTAGACAGAAGAGTGAATGAAATAGGATGAACCTTTTGTCATAAAAGACAAAACACTTTCTTTTAACTCTTTACTGGGCATCCTGGTGTGCTCAGCTCCTCTGAATCATAGGTTTAAGTCTTTTTGCTTTGGGATGAAAATGCCTTATTCTAGTTTGGGGATGAAGACAAATCAGTGGTCCAGGTGGGGAGACTACCACTCTGGGGTGAGATGGTCTGAGGGTCCAAGGCGCAAAAGGTGTGTCTCAGCTTGAAATGCTTGGCTGGAAGCCTGATGGTCAGCCAGAGGGGCCCCTCGCCCCTGACCTCTCCCTACACCCTGCATCAGCTGCAGCCAACCAGGGTGATGCCCACAGTAGGACGAACGGACCACAGGCTCACTAACGGGCTGGCTGGGCATCATGGTCAGAGGTGTGTGAGTACCGGCTGCCCGAAGGCAAAGAGCTTTAAGGGGAACACAACTCAAGCACGCTTCTTTGAGCCTGGCTGTCGCTTGCCGCCAGGAGCTAGTGAGAGTCATGGGACGTGAGGTCAGTGCAAAGAGTAAACCTGGGAGCTGACAGGACCCTGGTCAGTGTGGTCAGTGGGCTCTAACAGGGCTCCCTCTCCCCTTCTCTCCCTCTCCCCATGTATCTGCTTCAGTTGTACGGGGGTCACAGCACATCTGATGAACATGAACGGAAGGCCTGGGATTTCCTTGCAGAGGAGGAAAAACAGCAACAGCAGGTGGTTCTAGACACAGTTCCTTTATTATCATGCGCCCGAGCTAGAGACCAGCTAAGGAAGGGGCGTATTTACCACGAGAGCACTTTCTCCATATGCGACAGGTTAAGGCAGCTTCACTGTCTCTAAAATATTGTGACAACCCATACCCAGGGCAGCCAGTTCCAGTTGCCTGTCTGGCTTCAGTAACGTTGGGCTGCCTGGAAGTATTCGTGGTGCTTGCACTGGTGTCTGTGGTGCCCAAGCAGGAGGGAAGAGGGCACAGGAGGCTGAGGGCACATGGGGCTGGGCATTGTGCTGAAAGAGAAGATGGGGGCTGAGAATGGAGTGGGGCAGGAGGCAGTGGGAAAATGGGGCTGGACTGTGAACCTGTTCCCTCTGGGCAGAGGACCTGGGCACCTGCTCTGCCGGTCAGGGTCACAGACCCACTCAGAGAGCCCCACTCAGTCCTAGTCCAAGGTCAGGGCTGGTGCTGCAAGAATGCGCAGCAGGAGAGGCACGTTCCTGGCTGCGGTGAACTGCCCACAGAGGCACCATTTCACCCTTCTCGCTCACAGAGTGGGACCCAAGCTAGACATCTTGATGGGTTTCTGATCCTGGGGCTGACATACCAAAGAAGGTGACCAAGTGTCCTCCTTAAGGATGTGATCTAGAGCAGCAGTTCTCCAGGTGTTGTTCCAGGGCCAGCAGCATCCACGTTACCTGGGAACCAGCTAGAAACACAAATCCTTGGCCCCATCCCTCTGATTTGAAGCTGGAGGGGAAGGAGAGGGCAGTGATCTGTGCCAAAAAGCACTCCAGCCCGGCTAGCATGGCTCAGCAGTTGAGCATTGAACTATGATCCAGGAGGTCACACTTCGATTCCCAGTCGGGGCACATGTCAGGGTTGTGGGCTCGATCCCCAGTCAGGGGTGCACAGGAGGCAGCTGATCAATGACTCTCATCATTGATGTTTCTCTCTCTCTCCCTCTCCCTTCCTCTCTCTGAAATCAATAAAGATATATTTTTTAAAAGCCCTCCAGGCAATCCTCATGCGCACTCAAGTTTGATCACTGCCATCCTTGGCGGATGTGAACGCCACTCAGCGGTGACACAAGATATGGGTGTTCCTCTTAGCCAGTCAAACCACCTTCCCCATTTCTGTCCCCAGGCCCAAAGTGGCCAGTAAGTAGAAAATGTTTTCAAGGCTGACAGTAGGATGGGTGGTGGTGAAAGTAACTTGCAGTTCACGTCCTCTACCTTGAAGCCCTGAAGATGGACCTGGAGTAGCAGATTCTGAGACCAAAACTGGCCATGGGGCATGAGGGTCCTGGGGACACATCACTCTGGCACAGCACCCCCACCATCCTCAGTGCCAGGCCTGTGGCCATGCACAGGGTGGGCATCCTGATGAGATTCCAGGCCCAAGACAGCTCACACTGTGCCCATCCAGAGCCCCGTACTGGCAATAGAGGGGAGGGAAGGAAGGCAGGAGGTGGTCACCTCCACCACCCAGGGCACTTCCTCCCTGCCCGGGGTGGCTCCTTGAGTGCATGAGGCCTCACGGGGCTGGGAGAGGCATTTCCTTCTCTCTTGCCAGCCCTCCATGCCCCAGACAATGATCTCCACAGGGGCATGAGATTTCATATCCTGCTTGAAGATTCTGCTTGCTGAGGGAGGTCTGCGGCCACTTTGGTGTCAGCGTTGGCTCCAGAGGTGATAGGCCAGGTGCTCCCATCAGCAATGGCCCCAGGCTCCTGCCTGAGACACTTCGCCAGGGAGTCAGCTGTCAGCCTGAAGGAGTCACACTTCTCTTCCAACCTGGACTGTGCAGGGCTCCAGTGCTGGGGCCAGGTGGATGGTTCCGTCCAGCTTGGGCGGGGGGGTGAGGCTGCCGCTATTCCAGAACACCCCCCCAAGGGACACGTTGCTCCTGAATGTCAGCCTGGCAGTTCATTACAGAGATGGAGAACTGGGGATGCTGGGGAGGGAATGGTGTGACAACAGCCATTGCTGCTGACCAGCAGGTCTCTTTTTTAAAAATATGATTTTTATTGATTTTTTTTTTTTTTAGAGAGAAAGGAAGAGGGAGAGGGAGAGAGAGAAAGAGGAGGGGGAGGAAATATCAATGATGTGAGAGTCATTGATCGGCTGCCTCCTGCGCGCTCCTACTGGGGATTGAGCCCCAAACCCAGGCATGTGCCCTGACTGGCAATTGAGCCGGGGACCTCTTGATTCCTTGCTCAACGCTCAGCTGCTGAGCCACACCTGCCAGGCGACTGGCAAGTCTCTTAACTTCTCCGAGTCTTAATTTCCTCATCTGTGGGGGGTGGGGGAGTATACTGCAATCCCTACGTGACTAACACATTCTAAGCACACAGTAGGTCTTCAGCAAATCCAAGGCCCTGGACACCCACCCCTACATGGCTCTGCCTGAGGAGCTCCTGGAGCTGGGGAGAGAGAGAGAATGGTCATATTTTAAACAAGCCTTCATCTCCCGACTAAAGGCCAAGTTACACTCCTATCTCCCCAAACTCACGTTATCCATGGAGTAGGGGTGTGCCACTCCCTCTGGGTGTGGCTGCCCTGTGAGCGGAAGGAGAGAAGGGCAGCTTGGGGAGTTCAGGGTGAGGGTGTGGTGACCTCAGCTGTGGTAAGACCTCTACAAAATGCTGGCTCCCTTTCCGGACCTGGTGTGCCAGGCCTTCTGCCTACACAGGACTGTGATTGCTGTCAGCAGGCATGCCCTTCTCTCCCCCAGGGGTACTAATGACAGTGACAGCCTCCTAGCAGTGACCTGGGGGAGCGGTCCTGGGTGCAGAACTGCATGCTCACAAGCAGGACCACACACCCTGTAGGGGACGTGGCCCCAGCTCTGACTCCAGCCTTTGGGTGCCCCTTGGGGATCCTGCCATACCCTGGGCTCAGTTTCCTGTCACTGTGTCTCATTGCCCAGACCACTGGCATAAAGTAGGTCACAGTTCCAAAAAGTTCTGAGCTGTTCTCTCCCTCTGCAGCTTGGACCAGCCAGCATCCTTGGTAACTCTCTGGACAAGATGATGCCCAGCCCAGGAGTCACAGCTCATCCTGCCCTCTGCCAGGCTGCCTAGTGTGACAGGAAGTTGGGCAGGATGTCGGGCTCCCCTGGGTCTTCCCCAGTGACAAAGTTGTGCAAGTGATGCCCACCCAGCACCCCTATCCCCATCTCCACAGGCTGGGTGGCCTCAGTAAAGAATGAAGGGACCCCACTAGGGGCAGACATGTAACAGGCCACAGCAGCTCCCTCCCACTGGCAGCAAGAGAGCACGGCTCTCTCTTTCTCTCACTTGGTGAGATTTGTGGGTCTGACTCCTGGCCCTGCAAAGAGCTTGGGAGTCACCGTCACTTTTTATTTATCTGCATGAATCCCGGGAAGCTGGAAGGCAGCAACTTCCCTTGGAGGACCACACCACTGTTTCTTTTGTCCTTGGAAGAATCTGGGATTTTTAGGAAAGCTGGTCTCCCTCCTAATGAATTTGTATCAGCCACCCCAAGGACCTCCAGGTGGGAGAGCTCAGCCAGCCAGGGTCCCCACCAGCCCCTGGAGAGTCTCCAAGGCAGGGAGGCAATGTGCCCTGGGAAGCTGGTCCTCCCTTTGTGGGGGAGGCCGCCTCTGTTCTGAGCGTGTGCAGTTTCTGCACAGTTGAGGGCTGTGCTGGGGACAGCAGTGACCGTGTATGGGAGAGATAATACCCTTCACCCAGGACTGACCCAACTCAGCCAGAGCTGAGCTCATCAGACTGGGGACTGGACCCAGTGGGGAGGCAAGGGTGGCCTTTCTTGGCCTTGGTTTTAGCATAACAAGAGCCCACCTCTTGCAGGTGGAATGAAAGGAACGGAGGAGGGTCTCCAGGACCCTGAACTGCAGGACTCAGTAGGAAAGTGTGGAAGACGTGTGGGGTTTTCCTGTTTGCGCCTCCTACTTGTCACAGCCTCTTGGAGGGGTCTCTGTAGCTGTCTTAGAAGTTGACGCCTATTCTTTGCAAAACTGCCGGCATCTACACTCTGTATTTTCTAGGATTTGCTTTCTGTTCTTAGTACCTGGCAAAGTTCTTCCTGAAGATTCCCCAATTCAGACACACGAGACAGAACCGTAGGAAGGGACTGTCTTCACTTTGGCGAGCAGAGCGAGGCCCCTGGAGGCTGCGTGGTGGTGGTCCCGTGGTCAGGGAGCGTGGACCCAGGACAACAGACAGGGCAGAGCACCCCTCTACTTGGAGCTTCACCTTCTCAGTGGCTCCAGCTTTGCAGGCTCTGCAATTTGGTCTTCACCAACATTAAGAGTTAAAAGTTTAAAACCTTGACAATCCTGAGAATCAGGCCAGAGATGAGAGAGATTCCTAAGGGGCAGATTCCTGGAGGCTGGGGCTTGGGGCCCTGTCTCCCTGGGGTCCTCTCCTGGGGAAGGCCCCCAGGCGGCCAGTTCCGATGCAGCATGTGCTGGTGTAGCCAACTCTCCCCACCTTGTTCCCTGCCTGCAGCTCCACCAGGCCGACCACTGCCCAAACCCGGCTCCTGGCTGCCTGCCTCAGTTCCCTCCACTCCCAGTCCCTGCAGCAAGGAGCCAGGCCATCAGGATACTCCTTTCCCTAGAGAAGGTGTTTGCCAGTGGGCAGATCAAAGGCCTGGGCCTTCTGGGGGCAGAGAGAACACTAACTGCCCCACCCTGACGCATTTCTGGAGGCTCGAGCAAAGCCCCCAAAGCCTGCGCAGAGGGAAGAGGAGGGCTGCTTAGCTCTGGGAAGAGGAGGGCTGCTTAGCTCTGGTGGGGTCACCCTGAATGCGGGGTCAAGTGGGGTCGAGGTTTGCAGCCCTTCGATGTAGTTTCAGGAGCTGGGAGGGAGCAGAGTCCAAGTCTCTCTCACCTCCCTGTGGTCCATGGAAGCCTCTTGTCTGTTGTCCCTGGCAGGGTCAGTCCCCTCAGGGGGTTCTCGCAGCGAGCACTCAGAAGTGGAGGGAGTTGCTGAGGTCCCAGGAACTGCAGGAGCCATGGTGTTGGGTACTTGGTGGGTTTGAAGGGGGTGGGCACAGGGAATGGGGACTTTCTGGGGGTTTCTAGGTGAGCTGATGTTGACTCCACAGGTCTGGCAGATGGGATTTGGGCCCCTGTCCTTGTGAGGGGCAATTTGGAGGGGGACACGGTTGGCCATCAGTGAAAATGCAGCTGGAGCCTCCGGTGCAAGCAGCAGGTGAGGACCATCCCACAGGTCTGCCAGGTGGAGAAAGCAGAGGGGCAGAGAGATCAGGACCCCAGAGTTATGCAGGGCAGTGCCCTACAGCTCGCTTCTCATGCGGAGTGCACACCTGGGACCTTGATAAAGGCAGGTTCCCACTCGGGAGGCTGGGGTGGGGGATGGTGCTGAGATTCTGCAATTCTGACAAGTTCCTGGGGATGCTGGGGCCTCGTGCAGGGGGAACATGCTCTGAGAACTATCACCCAGGGACCTCGGTTTAGGGCAGATGACAATCTGTAGGCCTGAGTGGGGGCTGAGGTTCTGCACTGCTAACGATCTCTCAGTTCTTGCCGCTGATCTGTGGTCCAGAGTTTCTCCAGAGACAGTAGACTGGTGCCCGAGCGGCCTTTCTCTAAGGAGAGTCTGCCTGCATCCTGCTGCTCCGACTCCAGAGCAAAACCAGTGGCCACCATGGATTTTGGCTGATGGACAGAAACCACTGGGAAACCGAGGCTCTGGGAGGAGCAACTGGAGGTCACCAGCTCATCCTGTAAATCAGCATGGAACGTAGCACCAAACAAGGCCATAGGAGCCTGCCTGACAGCCCCATCCTCACACCCACTGGATGACAAGGGGCTAGAGCATCCTGCCCAGAGCAGGGCTGTGCTGGGAAGTCGCTTTTTCCTGGTCTCACTTTCTAGTCTCTATACCACAGAGGCCCATTGCTCTCTGCCTCCATTCGCTCTTCATTTGCCTCCTTCCTCCTTCTGCCTCTTCCTCTCCTCGCTCCCACCCGAGGATGCAGCAAGGACAAGACCGGGATGTGTTAGACCAAGGAGGCCCACGACTGTGATCATGTTCCTGACTATGCTGTTGGATCCTGGCGCCTGCCTGTGGGAGAGGGGCACAGCCTGGGCAGCCCCGTGACCGTCCTGTGGACATGGGCCAAGGTGCATTTCCCCAAATATGGGAACAGTGCCCCGTCTTCCCCAAACCTTCCAATAGCTGCTGCTGACCAAAGGGAGGAGGGCAGGCTGGTGAAGGCTCCTATGGGCTGGGGCACTCGGATTCTCTCCACAAGGCTGGCTCAAGGAGGTGGTGAAGGATACCCCCTTCCTCCCCCCTCTCCACCCAACGTGGGAGGACGGTGGGGCCTGTGAACAAGAGCAGAGCTAATCCACCGCAAGTTGAAAGGCGGCTTGAGAGGCTATTTTGTCTCCCACTGGCTTTTAGCAGGCGGTTGTCACAGCCATTCCACCCAGATGTCATGCAGCGTGCCCTCTTCTCTGTCCTCCCTCATGGTTTAATGGCCTGTCCTGTGGGGTTATCTGGATCTTTCTGATCCTTGCTAAGGGGGAAGCCAGAGGGAGCAGGTAGATTAGCACAGACTTTTGGCTACATCTCCTACACCTCATGCCAGAGGAAGACCGGGAAGGCTGAGCTCCCCAGCATGCACACTCTGGTATGAGATGTGTGTTCCAGGGTGCCTCCCAGGGTAGGCACAGTGAGGATGGAGGTGTGTGGGCCAGAATCTCATCAATGCATGTACACACACACACACACACACACACACCACCCTTATGCATGCAGTGTACAGGGGTAACGGATGCACTCATCACTGTGTGTGCACATGTACACACTCGTGCACACACACACCACCACCCTGATTCATTCAGAAGGGTAATGGACACTGACTATCAGATCCCTGAATGAGCGGCAATGTCTCCTTCCTGGCAGAGGACATCCAGAAATCAGCACAGACACTCAAGCAACCAGACCAGAGTGAGCAGAGAAAACACACAAGTTGACTGCAGGGGTGGGAGATAGCAGGTGATGGGTCCAGACAGGCCACCTGGGCCCAGCTTACGTGGGATATGGCGTCCCCTTCTAACAGCTGGTCTGGATGTAGCACTTGGCACACACGGGGCTTTTAATCCGAGAAGCCCACATTCTTTCAGCTTCTTTTGAGGTTTTTGAGCCAGCACCTGGCTGTCATCAAGAGCATCAAGGAAGGGCCAGAAGGCCCCAGGAAGCCATTCCAAAGTGATCTTTGGTTTCCCTTAGTGCTAGATTCCCTGCAGATTCCAGTGTCACTGTCTTGTGAGTTTTCTGGGCTCTGTGACATGTTTCTATCCTGCAGTGTGGGAATGTTAGGATGGGGTTGGGCTAACTTCTATTTGGAGCTGTGTGGCCTTGGGTGCAGTTACATCCCTCTCTGAGCCTCAAATCCCCTTCTATCAATAGGAAAACCTCTGCCTTCAAGCTAGATTTCCTCCAGTTCCTGGGGACCAGGGAAACAAGACACCATCTTGGCCCTGTCTATCCTGAGCCTTGAGGACCTTTGAAATGCCAGGCTGGACATGTGTGGGAAGGTGCCTGGTGCCTGCTCCAGCCGGAAGATGACTGTGAACCTGGGGACAGGCCTGGTGTGAGCCCTCCTTCAAGGCTGGCAGCAGACCTGGACTCGGGCAGCTTAGTTCCAGCACTGGCCAGCAGAGGGAGCTGTAACCCGAAGCTTGGCTGCTGCAGAGTCAGCCGCAGAGAAATGGAGGGGAGAAACTGGGCCAGGACTTGGGGTCCACGGTGGTTGCCAGGAGAGGTGGTGGCCAAGCTCTCTCTGCGGGACAGTAGGAACAGTTCCACAGTGAGCTGGACCAAGACTTCTCATGGTGGAGGTATGAGTGGGGAGGAGGCATCTGTGGGCCTGCAGGCGTCCTGCCAGACACCCTGCAGGCAGTGTGCACTTGTGCCACCTTGACCTTAGGCTCGGGGCACTGGCCATCAGTCCCTCATTCCTGTGGCTCCACTGCCTCTGTCTTCAGCTTCTCCAGGTTCTCCAGGCCAGAGAGGTAGAAATAAATGGATGGAGAAATGATCCCGGCCGGTCAGCGTCCATGCGGAGCAGGCCCCTCAATGCCTGAGGCAAAGAGCAGGTTTCCGGAAACCTCAGGTGATTCCAGAGCTGAGCAGCCTCTTTCCCAGACCCCACGGCAGCTCCCCTTGGGGATCAGTATGTGGGCAGAAGGCCTGCTCTGGGGAAGTACAAGATGGGCCATTTTACTGCCACCTGGGGTTCCCTGGGCCTGCTCCTGAACGGGGCAAGCTGGTCTGGCCAGGAGATGACCAGGGCTTTTGGGAGATATAATGTGCCATGTGGAAATGATAAAAAGAATGATGGGGACTGTTTACTGAGCACCTGCTATCTGCTCGGTGGTGAACCATGTGGTTTACATGTATATTGCATCATCCTCACTAGTCACCAAACTAGGTATAATTAGCCCCCTATCACACATGAGGAACTAAGGCTCAGAGGTGGATAACTGGCCCTAGGTTGTCTTGTCTCCCTCCAGAAGGGAGGGCCCAGTCAGCTAGCCGGGAGCTGGGCCCTCTTGGCACTCAGACTGGTGCGGGCCAGCAGCAGTGATCTGGGAGACACCCACACTGCTCGCCACCGCCACTCCTGCTTCTCTTCCCATGGAACTGTGTCAGGGGAGGGAGTTTGGGAAAGCAAAGGACCAAGGAGGCCTGGGTCACAGTTCAGAATGAGACCCTCAGTAAGTCACCTCTCTGGGTCTCAATTTTCCGATCTGTAAAATGGGGAGGAAACTGTTACTTGCCCAGCTGGGTCTCAGGTTGTGGGGAGCCATTGAGGGAAAGTATCGGAGCCACTCTGAAGTCTACAGTTTCCACTATGGAGGCCTTCACCGGTGCTGGGTGCTGCTGGTGTCGAGAGCACCACCTTGTTCTTATCTGGTTGGGGAAATGATCCATGTTTTACAGGTGACATTGAGGGGCAGGGAAGTAACTGCTCAAGGTTGCACAGGAGCAGAGGCAGGGTGGGACCCAGGTCCTCTGACGGGGAGCCACTGCTCTCCCCTCTTCCCTTGATGGTGCTTAGAGTACCGGGAGTGGGAAGGGTGGAATGGGACTGAGCTCCCTCTAGAACCTGCTGGGCTGCAGCAGGAGTGTCAGGAGAGGTGGGCATGCAGGGCCCTTGCTCCCTGTATCTGCCCCTGCCCCTGGGGGTGCCCTTCCTGACTCCTCTCCTCTTGACCTGGGACTAGAGTGACCCATGAGAGTGACACTAGCTTCCTGGATGGTGGCTGGGGGAGGGGCGGAGTGGTGAACCAGAGCAAAGGGAGTGGCTCATGCTCAGAGCAGAGCTGGGTGCACACAGGGGAGCACATATCCATAGGTGTGTGCACATACATACACACATGCACAAGCACACCTAAACACATATACGTGCATCCAATCCCCACCATGATGCATGCGGACACACCCAGGGCCCCACACATACACAGCAGGCTGCACACACACCCGCACGTGCACACACAGGGGTGCATGCACATACCTGAGCCCACACTCACACTCCTTTCAGGTCTCTGTTCCTTACAAGTTCAAGTGGGACCCCCGGCCCCAGGCATTTTCTTTCATGTCTCTGAGGAAGAGAGTAACCATGTGACTCATCTTTGGCTGCAAAGGGAAGGGGAGAGGAGGGCAGAGCAGAGTATCGGTGTGCAAAGGGTCAGTGGTTTGAGATCACAGCCCATGGAACAGGGGTTCAGACTCTGCTAGACAGCCCCTCTCCTCATCCCCTGCTCACTCACCTGCAGGCAGGCCACCCCGATGCCCACCGCCCCCATGAGCAGCAGGTGGTTGGCCAGGAACTGTTCCAGTTTGGTGATGCAGCCTCCCTGTAAGGTAACAACAGGTCACACACCTTGACCCAGAAGAGGGCGAGGATGGGGAGAGAAGGGCTGGCTGGGGTGCTGCATCCAACTGACTGAGGGAAGGCTGGAGACTTAAAGGGCCTGGCCCAGCCTTTCAATGGCCCACAGGCTCTTTGGGTGACCTAGGGCAGGCCATGGTGTCCTGGAATCTCTCAGTAGCAGGTGCTTGTCCCTGTGGCTTTGTGCAGATTTTTGAAGGCCCAGCACGGTTGCTTTCTGGCCAATAAATAAGTGGGCTCTGCTCCCCCTGTCTGCCCTGAGCCTGCCTTTTGGGGCGCCTGGATGGCCAGCTGGGCCCTCTGCATGCGCCAGCTGGAGCTAGGTTGCTCACCTCCACCTTGTAGATGTTGGAGGGGTGAGCCCTCTGGCCGCAGCGCACCACCACCGTCTTGCAGCAGCTGTCGGGCACCCGGCGGCCCTCGGCCTCCCGAGACAGGATGTAGGCGCTGTGCTGCCAGTCTGCAGAGCTGTTGCTTCCGCAGCACTTGAACTGAGAGAGACAGAGACTGGGGGTGAGGAGCATGCATGGGGCAGGCTCCTCCAGCAGCGTGGCTCCAGGGAGCAGTATCGTTATTCAATAGTAACCAGCCCGTTTTGCTCTCCCTAGGATTCTTCCCTTCCCTGGTTTGGAGCAGGGGTTGGTCTCATTTCAGGCAGAATTTGCCTGCAGGTCACCTGAAGGATGGTATTAATGACTGATAATGCTTAGCGGATTACCCTCCAATGGACATTTGCTTCTGAGCTCAGCATAAAGCCTAACTTAGTTCAACAGAACAAATCACTACTGATTCAAGGCAGACTCTCCAATTAAACACCCAGACATTTAAAGAGACTATGCTGGTGCCTTGGGGCAGGGAGTGTGTGTGAGAAGATGGGCCTGGAGGTAGATGCAAGTGGGTCCCAAGAGTGTGGGGCTGTGTGCTTTGGGGGTGGAGCCCAGGGTAGGGCCATAACCATAAGAGATGGTTTTCTGGTCATCCAGGGAGGCAGAACCCCAGGGACAGGGACCCAGCCTTGCCAGAGGTTCCCAGGGCCCCATTCAGGCCTTGAAACCTCAGAGCCCCCAGCCCTGCAGGAACACAAAAGGTATCCCAGAGGCTACGGGGCAGGCAGCTCAGCAGTGACCAGAGGGGAAGGGTGTGAGTGTTGATTTGGGTCTTGCGTCTTGCTGCACCACCCCAGGGCAGGGACTTGCCAACCCAGGTCTAAAGTGATTATAAAACAGGAGATTGGTTATTTCTTGCCCTTCTGGTTTGGGGACTGAGACATACAGACAGTCCCTACCTTGGCCACAGGACAGGGCTGTGTGAGGTGGTCTCTGGTGTGAGAGGTGCAGGTGGGGTGGGAGGTGCATTTAGTCTATTCAACAAGTGTTTGTTAAGCACCTACTGTGTGCCAGGAGTGAAGCTCAGCACTGGGCTGAAACATGAGTTTATCAAAGCTTATCACTGCCTGTCCACTAGTAGGAGAGACAACAGGGGCTTGTGTGTGGCAGAGGAGGAAGCAACCAATGGCTCTGCTCATGGGACAGGTCCAAGGACGAGGAGACGTCCCAGGAGTCAGCAGAAGGAAGAGCACATGGACAGAGCCTGGAAGAGCAGGGCCTGTGCCAGGAGTCCTGTGCATCTGTGTGTCTGCGTGTGCATGTCATCTGGACAGGTAATTTTGCCTTTCTGGGCTTCACTTTCACCATTTGTAAAGTGGAGATAACAGAGTGCCTCACACCGGCTGCTGTGAGGACTATGAGGCGGTTCACAGACAGCCCTTAGCAGAGAGTCCTGCCCAGGGTCAGCAGTCAGGGAGAGACATCTCCTTCATGAATCTTTGTCACAACTGCATGAATAAAGGTAGGCGGTGTCATTCAAATATTCGAGGTGAGGCTTGCAGTCACTGCCTTCTTGGGGCTCAGTTTCCTTGTGCCTAACATTCGGGCCTGGGCCCACGGTCCGTCATGGCCCTTGGGTTTTAACTGCTCCTTGCCAGTGAGAGGACCCATGTCCCCATGCCCACCCACAGAGGACTCCGGCAGTGGCACCATGCTCGCGCCCAGCTATGCCCTTCCACCTGGGCAAACCCAGGCCCTCCTTCTTGGTCCCTCCAGGTGACCTCCCCAACCATTCCCTCCACTCTGAGGGTTCCCCCCACCTAGCACTGACTGCATGTCACCTGTTGCCCAGAGGGCAGATATTTGGGCACAGTTACTCATGTGGGAGGCCCAGCAAACATGGACTGAACTTTAGATGGGCTGACCAGCAGGGAGCGGGCTAAGCATACAGGTGTGGGTGCACCTGTGTGTACATGGGTGACATTGGCCACTAGTTGAGAGGACAAGAGACCCCTTCATGTGGAGCTGACCCGGAGCTGTGTGTCTCAGGGAGATGGAGAAGGTGCCTCCCAGCTGAACTAAGGTGCCCCTAGAGCTCAGAGCCAGCCACCCTCTACTTCCTCTCGTTGCCTTTGTTCCTGCAAAAAGGTCAAGGTCTCAGGCTGGGTCTGTAGTTACAGGACAGAGCAGAGACCAAAGAGTGTGGGTAGGGTGGCAGAGTGGGCAGGCGGAGCTGCCTCAAATGCTCAGACCAGAACCACCAGACCCTGGAGTCCAGCTGTCTAATAGGAACTTCTCTGATGACAAGAATGCCTCTAGCTGTGCTGTCCAAGTGGGAGGCCACGGGCCAGGTCAGCCGTGGGGAACTGGAAGTGAGGCTAGTGAACAAGGAACTCACTTTCATGTTACATTTAAATGGCCACATGTGGCTAGTAGCCACCGTTTGGGACCACACAGGTCTGAGGCCTGTTTGTCCCTCCCCTCCCTCTGGCACGACCGTGGGCCTTCAGGACGGATTGTGGAGACTCTTCTTGGAAAGTCCCAGTGTTCTGCCAGACGGTGCACATCTTGAAAGTTCTTGCAGTGGCTTAACCGAAATACCTCTGCCTGTCACTCTTATGGGGCCTCAGCTGTCCTCACCTCTCTTCCCCAGGGAGAGCAGGCAGCCCAACAGTGGAAGGAGCCGGGAGGTGGAGCTCTCCTGGGACAGCCAGAGGGAAGGCGGCAGGGTGGGGTTCAGAGGTAAGTCCCCGGAGCCAGGTGGAGGGGAGGGCAAAGGAGGAGAAGGAAAGGTCAGGATTCAGAGCCCTTTTCATGGTGGTGGGGCTTCTACATACGTACACACTTAATGCTCACGCCCTATGAGCTACTGAAGTCAACAGAAGGTAAGTGACTTGCCCAGGGCCACACAGACAGAAGAGATGGAGTCAGGATTGGACCCATGTCTGTGTGGCCTTCAAGCCCACGGGAGGCTTACGTCCTGCTGTAGCCGGTCTACCGAGGTGGTGATCTCCGTGGCTCCAGGCTGCCCATAGTTCTCAGACAGAGTTTGGGCCAAGTGCTGCTTCAGTTCATCACTCAGCTGGAGGGTGGAGAGGGGAGGTGGATTAGCAGAGCCCCCACCCCCCCTCTCATCCTGGTCTCCAGGCCAGCTCCTAACCACCCCAGCTAACTCTAGAATGCTGGGTACTCCCAATGGTACTATGTGGTGGTTTCCCAGAGAGTGTCACGGGACCCTCAGCACACAGAAGACAAGGGCAGAGGTGTTGTGGGCAGAGCTGAGAGCCAGGCTGGGGGAGGTGAGATGATATTTTATGAGATGATGTTCAAAATATTTACAATCATTATCCTGTGGACACCCATCAGTCCTATAGGTGCTGGCTTGAAATAACCAGCATGGTCAACTGTCCCTACCAGCTGAATATCAGCCTGGTCGTGACGCTGAACCCCTGGTTCAGAGGGCACCCAATGGGAGTGGACCTGACTGGCCCCTTCCTTGTCTATGCAGGCAGGCGAAGCCTGGTGCTATCTTCATAGTCAGCACGTAACCCTGGCCCACGCCTTTCTCCTTGGATGTCCAACGGCCGGATTCATGCCCCACTTCTCTTAAGAAGAGGAGAAAACCACCCCCTTCTCAAGGAAGCTTCCCCTCCTGGCTCCCATGTCGAAGACATCTGCATGGACAGATGGATGAGAGAACTACTGGAGCTGGGACAAAAAGCAGGACCCAGATGTGCCGAGGAATGCTGGGGTCTGGGGAGCAGGATGGCCCTATGTGCTGCTCTCTCAGTTTCCCTGTCACACTGCACCCCTCCCCCATGCCGTTGCCTCCTGGGGTGCTGATAGGGAACGTAGAGGAAGAACTTGCACTCACCCTCTGGTAGTACACGTGGGCCAGGACCCCCGCCACCAGCTCCACGAGGAAGATCACCAGCAATAGGCAGAAATACTAGGAGCAAGGAGAGATGGTCACTACGGGGATCGGGCCTGGGGAGGCCAATGGCACTTCAGGACTTCTATGAAAATGTTTTCCTAAAGCACTGAGCAGGAAGAGTCTACCTGTCAGGGACCCCCACCACCAGGTCATCTTCCTTTTCCCAGCAGCCCTGGGCATGCCCACCTCTGCTGGCTGCTGGCATGGAGTTCTCCACTCACCAGTCTGCTGTCAACCAGTTAATCCATCCATCCATCCATCCATCCATCCATCCATCCATCCATCCATCCATCCATCCAATACTTATTAAATACCTACTATATGCAGGTTTCATAAGTAAGATGGTTATTGCCCTCAAAGTTATTGGTGGTAGGGGGACAGATAAATAAATAATCATAACGATGTATTCTAAATGCTACTATGGAGCAATGCCTAGAAACTATGGGTGGCTCCTGGTGGGGGCAGGCAGTCAAAGAAGGCTTCTTGGAGGAGGTGACACCTGAGAGGCATCTCTAAGGATGAGTGGGCATTTGCCAGGTGAAGAAGTGTATGCCAGGCAGAGGGAAGAGCATGTGTGAAACCCGGAGAGTGCAGAAGCATGGGGTGTTTGAGTTCAGGGATATGGCTGGAGTGTAGGGGCCACAGCAACCAAGGCTCTGGAAAAGCACAGGCAGAGACCCCAGGAAGGGCACTGCAGGGGGTTCTCAATTCCCTCACCACTGTCTAGCCTGCTGCAGGCTCGGGCCGCTCTGCATGCTTCACAGCCCTGCTGACGCTGCTGGCTGGTTTCCTGGCCATGTTCTCGGCTGTGACAGGCCGCATCCTGCTCCCACTCCCACCTGGTTTTACAATGAGGGGGGCTCGGGACAATGCTGGATCCTGGTGTGTTCTTGAAGGAGACAACCGGTCAGAAATGCGCGTCAGACACACGTGACTGGGAGGGGGCAGGGTGAGGGAGATGGTGCAGGCTACAGGGAGGGAAGAGGGAAATAAGGGGGGTACAGAGGAACGAGAGGAAGAGGGGAACACGGTTGCCTGAAACTGTCCCTTCTGTGCAAGCACAGCCCCTTCTCCTGAGCTCTGGCTGGTGCCACCTCCTCCCCCCTCCAGTCACTGCCCTTCTGCCTGGCCACATGAGGGCAGCAGCCCACGGTCCCTGGGTCACTGGGCTGCCTGCTGGGAAGGGCCAACCTGCAGGTGAGCTCTGCAACGCCAGGGTCCATCAAGTGTGGCAAGAATGTGGCCAGAAGGGCATGAGGGCAAGTAGGAGACAGCTGGCAGGGGCTCCCCAGGGTTGACTAGTGGGGACAGCAGGAGGGCAGGGGCTGTCTGGCCATCGCAGAGGCAATGCCAGTCCATGGGCCTGGCCTGTAGGCCTTGCCCACTGGCTCCCAGGGTCCAGCAGGGGGCTTAGCAAGGGCAGGATTAAAGCAACACAGGGGAGCGGGCTTTTCACAGAGAAAGAACTTTGACTCTAGAGCAAGGCTTCCTTTTGAGTTACGTGAACCACCTGCTTCTCCCTCAGGCGTTTTATTGATGATGGCTGGGAGCCATCATCTCCCAGCACCAGAGCTGCTGCCACCAAGCGAGAGGGAAACCTTCAGTCTCTCAGTAATGGTGCCAGGCCTGTCCCTATCCCCATCACTGTGGGACCCCAAGCAAGAGGACAAATGGAGGTTCTTGGCACCCCCTTTTCCTGCCCCAGGCTCTGTGCTGCGCCAGGAAAGGCCCCTGGACTGCACATCGCAGTTCTGTCCGCCCTCCCCACGCCCAGGCCCCGAGGTTCCCCACTTGGTGAGGGTGTGGAGGAGGCTGGGTGTGGTGGAGTGTGTGTGTCGGGCTGGGGGGGAGGGCACACCAGCCTCAGGAGCCCTGTGCAGGCTCTGGACAGAGGCTCGGGTATCTGCAGAGGGTGTTCCAAGCTCCTGGCCCCAAGATGAGGTCTCAAAGTGGGGAAGGTAGAGGCAGGTTCCTTGGGCCCCATGGATTCTTCCTGCCATGGGAAGGGGTTTGGGTAAAGGGGGCTGGGTTTGGATAAAGGGGGCTGTGTGTGCCCGGGTTCTCAGAAGGTGCTGAATGTGGCTGGGTCCTCTCTGCTTGAAGAGCCTGGGTGTCTGATACAGGCCCTGAAAACCTGAAGCACGGTGGTGGCATGTCAGCTGACTTGGCTTGAGTCCAGGCTCTTCCACTTGCTGGCTCTGGACGGGTGGGTGACCTCTGGCAGTTTGGTGTGAATGAGAATGTGCTCCAACGAGAAGAATGTGACTCAGTGAGTTGGGGGAGCTAGATTTCAGCCTCCCCGGTTCCCTGTATAAGACGCAACCTCCAGGGCCATAGGCGGTGGCCCTGCCTGTGCAGCTGAGCCAGTGGGTGGCTGAATCCTGCCCTGCCTGCCCCAGGAGGACCCGACGGGAGGGGAGTTATGCTTCATAGCGATCTGACCTGCTTCCTGCTCCCAGAGCTCATGGCGAGAGCATGAGGTGAGCCGCACTTGTCAGCCAGTGGCGGGCAGTCACCCAGGCCAGCTGGTTGCCCTCCTGAGAGCTGCCCAGCCCACTGGAGAGAGCGTGGCTGTGCTGACACCCACCCTCCCGGTGCATGCACTGCAGGGCCTTGGGGATGTGCCTGACCCACAGCTCCTCTCGGCCACGGGCGCACCTTCCTGCTGGCCCCACATTCATCCCCACTCCCCCTGCTCTGGGCGAGGCCAGCGCTCATCCTGCCACAGGAGCGTTCGGGCAGCGGCTGCCAGTTGCTCCCCAAGCGTTCTGGTGCACCCCACGTGTCCTCTGTGGTGTGGGAGGAAGAGACGACGGGGCCACTGCCAGCTTGGAGGGCAGCATCTTGCTACCTTCCTTCTGCTGGGGGCGGAGAGGCTTCTCTCTCTGTCACTGCTGTTGGGTGAGTGTCGCACATGGATGGCGGCCCTGGGGAGGTCGTGTTGGGCTACTCTCTAGGAAGTCATTGCCACCGTTGCTACTGAAGCCCGGGGGGCGGCGTGTGCTGAGGAGGCGGAGAGGCTGAACCATGTCCAGGATTCAACGGCCAGCATTTAATGGATGAGCACCCCTCCTGTCCAGAGCTCCAGCTGTAAAGATGCCCTTGGGGATAAGCCAGGGCCAGGTTGGGGCTCTGGGGGGACTAAGGGTGGGTGCCAGGGACTGGACCTGCTGGGTGCTCAGTGAGCACAGGCGTTGGCTCCAGGCAGCAGCTTCAGCAGGTGTGTGACTCACCTGGCAGGGGAGGCCCTGAATCACACCTCCTGGCGACAGTCCCTGAGAAGCAGGCTCTGCTTCCTGGAATCTTGCACTGAGGGTCCTGGCATCCCTGCCTCCGGACAGAGCCTGGCAGCGGGGCAGGCTGATGAGGCTCCTGCCTGGTGAGGCCATGAGCGCTAACAAATGGCCCACCTCTGCGTCTCTGCCCTTCACTTCACTGGTCTTCCCTGGCTTCCTCCGTCCAGCCAAGTCATCGCAGGGTCCTAGGGCACGGCTGGCCTGCAGATCTGCGCGCGAGCATTCCTTCTGTTCCTGCACAGTCCCTCCCTGTCCCTCAGTATGCGGCTCAGTCATGGCCTGCACCTCCCGCCCCACGAGGGCTTCGCCTGCCTCAGCGAGGACCTCCTGCTTTGCTCCTTCGCTCCTTGGCTAGATTTGGATCCACCTGTGTCCTCCAACTGCCTGCATGCTGTTCCTCACGGGACAGTTCCTGGTCAGCCTTGGCTGGATGAGCCACATAACATTAGTCACTGCTCTGTAGAGGTGGCTACTGCTTCAAGTGTCACCCCTTGGTCTCCCCAGAATGACTGTGAGCTTCTGGGAAACAGGGGCCACTGTGCGGCTCCAGGTCCAGCCGCATGCACGGTGGACATGCCTGCTTTCAGATGTGCGCGCACCTCACAGAGCACCCTGTGACACAGCGGGGACTGGCCAGAGCAGGCCAGTGCTTGGGGGCAGGAGCCTAATCTTTCCTGGTCTGTGGGTAGCACAGGATTGTTACTTTAATGTAAACCAATGTCTGGAGACTTCTATGTTGTTGTCACAACTGGCAGAAGTAGTGCTACTGGCATCTGGTGGGTGGGGCCGGGATGCCACTGATACCCCACAGTGCACAGGGCAGCCCCCCCAGGAGCTCTCAGGGTCTAAGGCGGATGCTGGAACTCGATTTTCATGTGTCCTTATGCACTATGGGAGGCACAGAAAAGATCTAAGGAAGGTTATCCAGGCCCTGAGAAGCCTGAACTCAACACAGAAGTAGATGAGGGGTTTTACTCTGTACCTTCCCCCCCGAAGGGTGGAACCTTTGCGGCACACTCACCTACACAAGGGCCAGTGAGGCAGGGAGAATGCCACCAGTCCAGGGACATCCAAGAGCTCTGGGTGCTTCCCTGGGGACAGTGTGTTGTCTGAAGCAGCTGTAGGTCCCTCCCGCTGTCCCTAATGATCTGGGCAGTGGGACAAGCTGCCATAAAGGGTATCTGACATTTTGACTAGGAGGCCTAAAGGTGCTGGAGTTCTCCTTTGCCTTTAAGTTTGGTGTTGATTTTGAATTATTAAACAAAAGTCAGTAAAAAGTTCTCAGATACCCTGTGTAGTATTTCAAGTAGTCAGTATTTACTGGCCCCAGGCCATCCTGCTTCTCCCCGCTGACCATGCCAGGCAGGGCCCTGCTCCTCCAACGAGCCTTCCGCTCTCTTGAGAATCCATCTCCCAGCCTATGGCCTAGGTTTGGAGGTGATAACCCAGCTCAGGTTGCTGGCCTCGTTTCTCAAAACCGAGCCGAGGAGCAGAGGAAATGCTGTTTTCCTACAGTGGGAGCAGTGGAGAGGCATCCTTTACACACCTCCAAGTAATAATAATAATCCCTCCATGGAGGAATCAGCGTATTATCACCTGGGTGGCCCCCATGAGAGCAATGCCAGCACGTACCAGCTCTCCCCAGGTGCCAGCCCCTCTGTGAGCACTTCCCATGCCTGCTGCAGCCCCTCAGATGGGAGCACCACTGGGGAGGGCAGCCGCAGCCCCACTGAGTCCGTGAGCGCGTGTGCGTGGAGAGCTGGAGGAGCCTGTCCAGACTCGATTGGCAAGAACATGTTCGAGTCAGGACTGAACGCAATGATTCTGGCTGCAGAGCCTGTGTGCCTCCCTGCGGTGTGCTGGCGTCTCCTAACAGCTGGTGGGTGGGGGTGAGCTCCTGGAGCTCCTTAGGGTGGAGCCAGCAGGTTCAGGTGGATACAGGTGTCAGGAAAGGTGTGAGAAAGTTGTGACGGAGAGACCAAGGGGACATCCAGGAAACCCCTAACCCTAACACGTGAGGATCTCTCAGTCCCCATTCCTCCCGGCCCTGCCAGGCTGCCCTGTTCCACCAGGTCCCCCCAAGTCCCCTCCACCACCTGCTAGCAATAGCACAGCAGTGGCACAGCACGGGTTCCAACGCCTATGCCGGCCCCCTCTCCCCTTCGCCTTACTCAGCCCAGCCTAACTTATCTCAGAGCCTAGTCACTATCTGCACACGCTGGGCTGGGCCACACTCCCCGCTGCGCACGGTGCCTGAGCACAGTGAGGCCCCCGCTCTCCCTGTGCAGCCTGCCTGGGGCTTGCTGCCCGACCACGTCTGTGTTTCACAGCTATCAGCCATCAGCCTCAGCTCAGGCAAGGCCCACAGGGCCCTCCCTGAGCTAGAAGTTCCTGACCTTGACCTCACTGCCGACATCCTCCTGAGCCCGATCTGACCCGCGGGCCTCACAC